TGCTCTTGAGACATGGTTTTTCCATGTAGCCCTGGCTGTCCTGGAACTCACTATGTAGATCAGTCTGTCTTCAAACTCAGAGATCTGACTGCCTCTGCCTCCTTAGTGTTGGGATTAAAGGCATATGCCACCACAGCCCAGCACCCAATGGTTATATTTTAATTAATTCTATTTTAAGCTTTTTCTCATTCCTTTATTTTTGCAGATTTGTAGTGAAAGTTTTGTTGTTGCTGTATTCATAGTGTGTATCTCAAATCTCAAACCTTGTTTTTCTTCTCCTACCAGTTCCTGTCATTGTTTACTTTCTTGCTTTATGAATCTCTCTAAGTACTTGACTTATGTCCCATCTTAAACATGCTTTATGGCCTAATTTGGCTCCATGGAGAACCCTGAGTTAAACCTTTAAAGTTTACCTTTGCTTCCTCTCATCCAAGCCTTTTCATCTCTTGTCCTTTGATCTTAAAAGCAACATGTGTGCTACCCAAAAACTGGTCCAAGTTGCTTGGTCAGCATTCAAGGGATTTGAAGATGACATTGAAGGAGCATGTAGTCTAATGTAGGAGGTAGATTGATCCATATCTGTCCTCTTTCTGATGGGTTCTGGGTTCTCACTGCCCTGTCCCATTGGACGTTTCCCTATGATCTAGGGGCCTTGTCTTTTTGTCTTGTTTCCCTTGATTCACGTGCTGGATGTAAGTGGACGAGTTTAGTTCAGTTCCTTGGGGCCTGGGGAAGGAGTTGAAGGTAGTATGAGAAGTAACAGAGGCATGTTAGGGTGGAAGTTTGGTTCTCACTAATATGGAGAAACACAAGGAGGCAATAGTAAGAATATACGGATTCATAGTTGTTTCTCCTTGGATACTTTAAGAAGTAGCAGCAAGGTAAAAGAAGTTGATTGCTAGAGAAGCTTGTATAAATATCTTGCCTCAGTTGCAGGCAAGGACATTGGCCTCCATCTACTTGTATGAATGTGTTATTACCACGTTCAGAGAAGTGCAGCTTTTGACAAGTACTCATTGCTAAGCACTGTGGAAATATGAGTTGTTAACACAAAGATACTTCTTCAAAGCTTCCTCCTAGTTAGACAGTCATTCCTCTATAAACTTACACAGTTCTTTGAGGTTTTCTGTTTTCATCGGTCAAGGTTGTAGGTAATTTCATGACTTTGAATGTCATGTTTATGGGTTGTTTTGTTCTTTTCTGGAACTAGTTGATCATTTTAGAGGAAAATACAAAAACATTAACTTTGTAAAGTAAGAGGTGGAACATGTAATAGATGTTTTTCTATTGTTGTGATAAAACACCATAACCACAGCAATTTATAAAATAGTTTAATTGGGTTCTAGAGAGTTAGAGTCAGCTGGGTGTTGGTGGCGCATGCCTTTGATCCCAGCACTGGGGAGAAGGAGGCAGGCAAATCTCTGTGAGTTCAAGGCTAGCCTGGTCTACAGAGGGAGTTCCAGGACAGCCTACAAAACAATACAGAGAAACCCTGTCTTGAAAAGCCAGAGAGAGAGAGAGAGAGAGAGAGAGAGAGAGAGAGAGAGAGAGAGAGAGAGAGAGAGAGAGAGAGAGAGGCTTAGATGTGATGGAGGAGTGAAGACATGGTGGAAGATGGCTGGACTAGCAACTAAGAGCTCACATCTTGATCCACAAGAACAACACTGGGAATGGCACAAGTCTTTTGAAACCTGCAAGTCCACCCCCAATGACACACTTACCTTACTCTAACAAGGCCACACTTCCAAACCCTTCCCAACAGTTCCACCCACTGGGAACCAAGTATTTAAACATATGAGCCATTTTCATTCAAACCACCAGAAAATTTACATAGAAATTCTTTTTGAATTAGTGATTTTAATTCTATTTCTGTTTATAGACTGTGTATCAGAGAAAAAGTTTCATTAAACATATTTGATATGTGACATTAGAAATTACTTCCTATGGAGAAAAATTAACAACCTTACCTGTACTGATACGTTGTCAATACTTTTTGTTACACTTTCACAAAGCTTCTGTGTGTATAATCCTTAAGACAGAGACAGCTGTTGCTGTCATCAATATTTTATTGTTGTCTGAAATAAAGGCTAACACAAGTATGGTAGCTAGATTAGAACTCATGATTCCAATATAATATGTCAATGTAATGTAATGTAATGTAGTATAATAAAAGTCCTAGCTTCATACTCTGTCATCCTAAAAATTCCAGTATTCATTCCTTTGCAAATTGTTCACATTAAGTTTTTTATGATTCCATAATCATAAAAGAAAAATGAAAAAAGTATGAGTTTTAATCTATATAGATTATACTATTTTTGTCTTGTTTCTTTTCTTTTTCTTTTGAGACAGAATTTCATGTTGTTGTCTACACTAACCTGAAATTCACTATGTAGTCTAAGATGACCTTAAACTTAATCAATCCTCCTTTCTCAGTCACACAAGAACTCAGGTTACCTGAGTATGCCTCTACACCTAGCTTTCCAGACATCACCAGTCATGAGCTATGGGTTTTGTTTTCTGTCAAGTACTTACATTTTGTCATAGTAGTTTCTCAAAAGGAAGGCTTAGAAATCTGCCAGTACAGAGGTTAATATAATGTCTTGTACAGCGGTCGGTAGAAATCAATATTTTCCTGCCCTTGAAGTTCTCTGGAGTCTTAGATCTCCTCTGCTTTCAGATTCTCTTTCCCCCACCTTTAAATCTATCACTAAATCATTTATATCTCTCTTTTGCTAGGGAGTGTTGTTGTTAAAGGTTTGCAGAACTTGTGGCTTGTACTTAGAATATCATCACATCACACTGCTCTGAAAATAGCTCTACATGGTGCACACCTAAAACCAGATGTCATTTCAACTCAAAACCCAAGTATATTATACCTTGGTCTCTATTGACAGTGAAACCCAGGGCCAGGGAGATGGCTTAGTTGTAAAATGCTTATCATGCAAGCATAAGAACTTGAGTTTAGATCTGCAGAACTTACATAAAAAGATAGACCATTAGTACATGCCTGTAATCCTACCTCTAAGGAGGCAAAGATAGGCAGATCCCCAAAGTTTGCTGGACATTTAGTTTTGATGCATTGGAGAGCTCCACGTTGAGCTAGAGACCATGTCTCAAAGCAAAGGATGGAAAGCAATAGAGGAAGATACTTATCATAACCCTTGACTTCTACATTTCCACATACGTGCACATGTATGTGCACCTATACATACATACACAATTCCAGTCTAGCTGAGTGTGATGGTGTATACTTGTAGTTCTAGCTGGCTGGTTGATTGCCGCAGGAGGATCATAAATTCAAGGTCTGAGTGGTCTAGATAGCAAGTTAGTGAACTAAGGGTACAGCTCAGTGGTAGCATTTGCCCAGCATTGGTTCAGTCTTTAGCACTGCCGTTACTGGAAAGAACGTAGAAAAGGAGGGAAGGTGGGAGGGAGCGAGGGAAGGAGAAAGGAAGAAAGAGAGAATATAAGAGGAAGAGAGAGAATAAGAGTAAGAAGGAGAGAGGGAAGATTGATCTGGAGATAGTTTTATATAAAATGAGATTTTAAGAGCAGGTCAGAGACAAGATTTAGTCTGGCCCATATTGGTATGTCTCCCTCAGCTAAATGGATCTAGCTTGTCATACTTTATGACCTATTCATGAAACCCAACATTAAGACTTAAGACTATTTGTAATTTTTTTATATTTCCTGTGTGTGTGTGTGTGTGTGTGTGTGTGTGTGTGTGTGTGTGTGTGTGTGCGTGCGTTGGGTATCAGGGAAAGTTCATGCCAAGTGGAAGTCAGGATAGCTTACAGGAATCATTTCTCTTCTTCTACTATGTGGCTTCCAGGGGTTGAATTTATCTTCTGGGGCTTAGTGGCGACCACTTTACCTGCTGTACCGTTTTGACAGCCCTGTACTCATATTTTAAAGGACAGTTCCTTCTTGGAGAGTCCAAACAGACATTGCATGTTGCTTGCTTGCTTGGTGCTTGTAGGAGTCATGCATATTAATATATTTTGTATTTTTTCTCAAAATTATCTGTCTGGCTTAGATCCAGAGAACAATTTTAGTTGAGGCTATAGTTTTAGGACTTTGTGTAGTGATAATCACACATTTTCATGGTATTGAGGTTACTTGAGCCAAACATATTTCTAGTCAAATACCGTTTCCATCAATCTTCATAAAATAATGTGTGCAAAATTTCAAATAATAATGTTTTTCTTCAACTTTTAAAATAAGCAACAGAATTCTTTTTTCCAAAGAAAATTGTAGATATGCAGTCTATAAATCACCTGTGGCTTAAGGCCACACAATTTTTTCTTACCTCCCTACTAGAACAGTATCTGGGAAGACACCGTGACTTTGCAGATGATGAAACCACAGTGAAAGATTTAGGTTGTGAATGCTACCAAAAAGACATGACTATGCTGTCGAATTACCATCCTAGAACTTTGAAAATAGGCATTATATATACATTTTTACCCCAAATTACATTTACTATATAAAGCAAAGCCAGGCTTTAATTTTAGTTATTTTTTCAGAGCATATTATTTATATAATTTGGGAACGGCAATGGTACTGGGGCTAACCTACTTTTATATCCTCATTTTAAAAGTAAGTGTTATGGCAGGCATGGTGTATATCTGTTCTCACAATACTCAGCAGGTCTAAGCAGGAGGGCTGTGAGGTCAAGGCCAGGCTGGACTATGTAATACAGTGCTGTCTCTGACAAACTAACCAGCAAAAAGCAAATTTCATATAGCTCAAAGTCCTTTTTTGCTGTTGTTGTTTTGTTTCCTTTGAAACGGGGTCCCAGGTCTTACTGTCTAACTGAAATTGATCTTGAATTTCTGATCTTTCCTTTCCCTTCCTGGGCTAGATTGAAGATGTACGCCACCATACCTTGCTTAAGATGTCTTTTCAATAAATTAATTATAAATAAAGTCATATGTTGTATATATGATTGTTAGGTGATTGATTTGCTAGCTTAAATTTCTTTCCTTTTTGTCTTCTAGTTTGCCAGGGTTTGGATACCTGATCCTGAGGAAGTGTGGAAGTCAGCAGAATTGCTCAAAGATTATAAGCCTGGAGATAAAGTACTGCTGCTTCACCTTGAGGAAGGGACGGTAAGAACTTCACCTTCATTTCTTGTATTTAGCTGAAGTGATAGAAGGTGAAAGATAGAATCTTACTATAATTTGCCTAATCCCAATTATAATGTAAATTTTGAATTACTCTAATATTGTCAGTTTCTATTTTGATAAAAATGATACTTTTTGTGTACTCTACATAGAGGCCAGTGAAAGCAAGACATGTTTTAAAACACCATCGTTTTAACATATACATTTATTATGATTATCAAATTTGCCTTAATTTCTAATTTTAATACTAACAATGTGCCTATGCATCCATATTTTATGTTTAGGACAACATTGCACTTATTTCATATTAGCTAAGATTGGATATTTGGGAAATATTTACTAAGAAACTGTTACATATGTAGCATTTTGCTGGTCATCAGAAGACCTTATAAACAGGCGTTTCTGGCTGGCTGCATTTTGAGTGAATGAACTCACCATTGTTTCAAAGCTTTTATTCTGTCTACTGCATTTGACAGGATATGTCACACTTTTTTCTCAAACAGAACTTTGTGACATTCATTTTCTTTAAAGAATTTATAGTCCCAGTGTTGAGTGCTCAGCCCTATACGGGGCATCTATATTACCCTCTCCAAGGCTCAAAGAACATTGCAGAACAGGAGAGAGAAAGGATGTAAAAGCTGAAAGATGTCAGGGTGGGGTTGGGTTTCCATGAAATGCTGTTTTCCTGACATGACATGGCTACTGCACCTTGAACTCACAGCAGCATTGGCTGCCGGCACAGAACTAGGCCCATGAACATTGCAGCATGGATGGAGAAGGGTTTTATAAGGCCCACCCATCCCTGAAGAGTTCCAGATAGTAACCGGTTTCTGGGATGGGGAGTTATATTTCTCAGTTGTGTAGCCACTGGTTAGTTGCTCTTCCTTGATTTAGCAACCCCCAGCCCATGCTCATGCAGGCAACCCTAATTAGATGCAATGGAGCACACTCCTACCTCCATTTCTGAACCCCCTCCCCATAAGGACATGAAAGTAGGAGGGGGTTTCTTGGGAAGAAGAAAGGATTCAGTGAAAGAGGGAAGGCATAAGAGAAGGGAATAGGAGGGGGAATATGACCAAATTATGTTTGTGTGTGTATGTTTGAAATTTTAAAAGTATTTTTAAAAACTTTCAGTGTAAGCCAGATACAGTGTCACATTCCTGTATTCCTAGCATGTGAGAGGCTAGGGTAGGAGGATTTCAAGTTTGAGGCCAACGTGGTCTATATAGTGAGATATTGCTTGAAAAAATAGAACAAGAGCTGGTGAGATGGCTCAGCAGATAAAGATGCTTGCCACAAAACCTGATAAGTTGAGTTTAATCCTCAGGATCTACCAATTCCTGAAAGTTGTTCCCTGGCCTCTACCTGTATATCATGGTAGATGCATGTGTGCATGTGTGTGTGCCTCCCGTCATACACATTAATAAATAAATGTAATTTAAGAATTTAAAACAAAACAAGAAAAATTATGATCTGACCAGGGAAACTTGATATAACTACATGCCGTGCTAAATAATTAGGAAGTAGAGTAGAGCAGCATTAGAATTCTCAAAATTTCTACCCTAGTTTGTTTCCCTGTTGCTGTGATAAACACCAAGACTAAAAATAATTTGTGGGTTACATTCCATTGTCAAGGGAAGCCAAGGTAGGAATTCAAGGCAGGAATTTGGAGACAAGAACTAAGCAGTGACCACAGAGGAATGCTGCTTACTAACTTGCTCTGGGAGACAGCATTACTGTCTAGACCAAACCATTTAGCTCCACTTATAGCATCCAGTCATTTTCTTGTACAAAGGTCCAAAGTCTCCCATATTCCTCCAAAACCCCCTACACGGTCCAGTCTGCACAGTTAACACCCTGCTTTCTGGTTCCAACTTCTGTGTTAATTGCCTTTCTGTTGCTGTGGTAAAACACCACAGCAGAAGCATCCTACAGAAGAAGAGTGTATTTGGACTTAGAATCCAAAGGGATAAGAGTCTGTTCTGGTGGGAAAGCCTGGCAGCAAGTGGCAGGCATGGTGGTAGGAAAAGGAAGCTGAGATCACATATTTTCCCACAGGCATGAAGCAGAGACAACAAACTAAAAATAGGGCAAGTCTGCATGTATACTCCCTAAGCCTGTCCTTAGTGGCATACTTCCTTCAGCAAGGCTATATCTCCTAAACCTCCCAACACAATGCCCAGCTGGGCACCAGGAATTTAAATGTCTGAGCCTATGGGAATATTTATCATTGAAACTACCACAATGTTAAAAGAAGTGTATGTTTATTTTTCAAACAATTAACTCATGCATTTAGTACTTACTGTGTATCAAGCTTGATCCTGACAATTCAATTTTTTTTAAAGACAAGGTCTCACAATTCAGTGCTGCCTGGCCTAGAATTCTCTTTGTAGATCAGGCTGACCTGAATCTCGTAGAGATTCACCTTCCTCTGCTTCTTCTGGTATTAAATAAAGGTGTGTATACTGAATCCATGACAGTTATTTTAATCTTTCCAATAATACTACAAGTTGGCTAGATCCTTGCTGATTGAAATGTATTGCGAATGTTATATGTATATAAGGTGGTTGTAGTGGATATCTAGAAAGGTGAGTGTTTGGTTCAAAAATGCGTATTAAGGTAACTGCTATTAGCTACCATAACCATGCTAAGAACTGTAAAAAGGCATGGTGTTTTGACATCATTTCCAGATAAGAGACAAACATACTTGCAATAGCCCACATGCTCCATTATAATTGAACCTATCTTTCCCCCTTTTCTTTTCTTTTCTTTTTTTTTTAAAGACTTATTTATTTATTATGAATACAGCATCCTGCCTTCCATGTATGTCTGCTTGCCAGAAGAGGGCACCAGATCTTATTATGGGTGGTTGTGAGCCACCATGTGGTTGCTGGGACTTGAACTCAGAACCTTTGGAAGATCAGCCAGTGCTTTTAACCTCTGAGCCATCTCTCCAGCCCCCTCTTTCCCCCTTTTCATCTGTCCTATGCTATTTGTCGTTAATATATAGTAGAGTGGCAGCTTCCATAATTGGCATTGTCCAAAAGTCCCATATGCCTATGGTTTTATAATACATAGTACTTTTCAATTTTATTTTGATACTTAGTGTGCATATTCATGTATGTGTGTCCACATGTGTTCATGCCATGATGCACATGTGGAGGTCAGAGGACAACTTCAGGAGTTGCTTTCCTTTCATATGTGGGATTAACCTCAGGTCATCAGGTTAGCTGAAAAACCTTTATCTTGCCACCTCACTAGCCCATGTGGTACTTCTTAATGTTTGGGGCCAAGTACCTCACTAAACTCTAATGAAAAGTATGAGTTACTGTTCCCAAAATTATACACACAGTGTGGCACAAAATTTTAGGGGATTCTTGGGATTCGTAGGGGTTCAGAAATCTTAGGGATTCTTAGAGTGTGCCAAGCATTGCTTCTTTAATTTTTGCCACATTTTTTGAGCTAGTTTTGTTAAACCATCTTACAAATGAGAGATTTAGTTTAAATAATGCACATAAAGCCATATAGAAGTTATGTGTCTGTATTAGAGTTTAAACCCAGGTAAATCTGATGCTAGAGCTATGCTCTTGACCTCTTTTATACTGATTATCATTTCCCATTTGTAGATAGAAGAGGGAGATGAGGACTCATCTAATGGTTAAAATTTTCTGGGTAAAAATCTCTAGGCTCTAACTTCTTCAAGTATATTAACAAAAAATTATTTACACTGGGGCTGAAGAGATGACTCAGTGGCTAATAGTATGTATTGCTCTTCCAGAGGACCAGAGATTGGTTCCCTGCACCTACATTGGGAACCTCATGTCTATAATTCCAATCCCAGGAAATCCAGGGTCCTCTCTAAACTCTGAACAGCTGCAACATGTACACAATACACCCTCACACACTAAACACACAGGCACATATGCGTAATTAAATATGAAAGTGAAATCTTAAATTATTTATGCAGATTTATGTCTGACGGAAAAAGAAGCCACTCTTTATTGTTTTTTTATTTTTTATTTTTTCTGATAATAGAAAAATGACAAGAAATAAATACATTTAAAAGCAAATCAGAAACAGAAATAATTAAATACATAGGTTTGTTTCATGTTCATCATTATTGACATAGATGTTGTGTCTTCTGTCCTCAGGATTTGGAATACCGTCTAGATCCAAAGACCAAGGAGCTGCCTCCCTTACGGAACCCTGACATACTTGTTGGAGAAAATGATCTTACAGCCCTCAGCTATCTTCATGAACCTGCTGTGCTGCATAATCTCCGAGTTCGCTTCATCGATTCCAAACTTATTTATACATATTGTGGTAAGTGCTCTCCTGATGAGCTGTAAGCTTTCCTTTTGTGGATGTAGTAATGGAAATGCACACAGAGAAAACTAGCTTGGTTGAATTTCTCATACATCCAGAAATCACTTCAGATCACCAGAAAGATTGACCAGGAGTCACTAGCTCATTATATTTCGTGCCAAATAAAATTACTTGTGAATTTGTGAACAGGTCCATCGTTTGGACCCTCCCCTCCCTGTCATATCAGATTCAGTGCTGAAGTCACCCTTTCTTTTCCTCTCATAAAACAAAGAGTAGATGTTCACAGACTGGCATTTGGTGCAGGTGCAAGCTTACTGCTGCCTTTATCCTCACTTAGATTCTCAGGACTGACTCACTGTGCTGCACCGGTCTCCTTCCTGCGGTGTTAGCTGCCAGCAGCCCAGCTCATGACGGTTTTCTCAGAAGTGAAGGTTGAACATGTGTGCATGGCTACAGTGCTTCTCCCAGCCCCATCTGTCTTTGTTTTTCTCTGCTCTGATTTGCTCATATTTATTTCCTCCGACTTCTCTGGCTCTTCTTCCTGTGATCTTCCCTCTCTTACTAACCATGGCTCTTCTGAGGCCCAGCCCTGGGTGTTCATTCATTCCCATGTGTTCATTGGCTTTCTGACCCATGTTGTGTTTATCTTGTCTTCACTGTTGTCTGTTAAGCTGGCACAGCCACTTTTCCTCTCAGGAGAATTTATGTCTTTATTTGTTTATTTATTTTTTACTTTTGGAGTCAGGGTTTCTCTGTGTAGCTTTGTAGACCAGGCTGGCCTCAAACTCACAGAGATCCACCTGCCTCTGCCTCCCAAGTGCTGGGATTAAAGGCTTACGCCACCACCACCCGGCAAAAATTTGTCTTATATATGCTTAATGATAATCTTTCTCCCTATTATTTAAATATTTTTCCTTCAATTTATATTTTTAGACTTATTTTATTTTAAGTGTATGAGTGTTTGGTCTGCATGCCTATGGAGGTCAGAAGAGGGTATCAGATACCCTGGGATTGGAGTTACGGATGGTTATGAACCACATGTATGGAAACCAAACATGGTATTCTCTGTAAGACAGTGCTCTTAACACTGAGACATCTCTCCAACCCCTCAGTTTATTTTTTTGTAATATGACATATTTTTCTATGATTTTTTTCTTTTGAGACAGTGTCTCATATGGCTCAGACTGTCTTGGAACTCATTGTATAGCTGAAGATAACTTTAAACTTCTGATCCTCCACTTATCTCCACTTTCTATGACATTTAATATTCTTCAAAAGCATGTGTTTTGTGGTGTGTCACAATGCTCATGTAGAATCATAATGATTCTAGTATATGTTTTGTTTGTTTTTGTTTTCACTGTATGACTACCAGTGTGATATCCTTCTAAAAGAAAACCCTTTTAATGAATCTCTGATTATTTCATTGGATAAATTTCTAGAAATGAGCTTGAAAATTTTTTATTTTATTATTTGTATGTGTGGGAAAAGTGTGTGTGTGTGTGTGTGTGTGTCTGTGTGCGTGTGTGTGTGTGTACATGCATTTGGGTGCTTGCAAAGTCTAGAAGAGGGTCTGATTCCTGGGAGTTGGAGTTGAACTCAGATCAGCAAGATCAGCAAATGCTGTTTACCCCTGAGCTCTCTCTTCAGCCCCCAATTTTTTTGTAACTAAATATTTAAATTGCTTAGAACATTGTTACTTTTTTCCACAATAGAGATAAAACCCAGAGCTTTCGGAATGATTGACAAATCCTCTGTTTTAGAACTCTATCCCTATCCAAGTCACATTATTTTAAACAAATCAGTCCAGATTAGTTAGGGCTATGTATAATAATTTAGAGTGCCAAAGACTGTGGTACATTTTGATCTTTGAGCAGTTTATTAGTTTAATGTGGACTAAATTGAAAAAAAGGTTTTGTGCTGCCTTACTTTACCAAGCTTGATGTGCCCATTGGGATATCATTGATTTCATTTTCTTTCTCACCCTCTTTCCCCAGGAATAGTCCTGGTAGCTATAAATCCCTATGAACAACTGCCTATTTATGGAGAAGATATTATTAATGCATACAGTGGCCAGAACATGGGTGACATGGATCCTCACATCTTTGCAGTAGCTGAAGAGGCTTATAAACAAATGGCAAGGTTGGTAGGAACTTCTATTATTATTTCATGGCTCTTGTTAGATAAGATAATTTATTCTTTGCTGCATCATGGATCTTTAAAGAAAATAAGAACTTGTAAATAATTACTGCCTAAGTAGTTGTGGCTAATTTGTCTCAGATTGTCTGGACTGTTTAATTAAACATTAAAATCTCACATTTATAAACAGATTATGTAGTTTGTTTTTAAATTGCCTTGGAATCTCATCATGTTCCTGTGACAAAGCAAAGACAGGTATTGTGTTTTGTAGTGAGAGAGGGAAAGTTTAGAAGGAACGTTAGTAAGAAGGGACTTCTCTAATGTCACCCAGCAAAGGAACAGATGAACTAAAAGACCTTTAATCTGGAAAAATAAATTATCTGTATGATAGCAATTAAAATATATGGTAGGAAATCAGCTAAGTGTGTATAAAGACTATCTGCAAAGTGTTCCTCATATTACCACTGAGCCTAACAGTTTGAGGGGGTAGAGATTGGGAAATAAAAGCACTTTCAAGATGAAACTATATTCTGAATAATAAATGATATGTTGTAATGTGAAAGGGTGAGCACATGGAAAAAAATTAACTAATTTCTCCTGCTTACAAGGAGGAACTTGGTAAAAATATGATGTAGGAAACCCCCAAGACAGTTTATAAACTAGAAAGGGAACTAACATCATAGAGGCTTTTATTTTCTCTTTTTCAACCAGTATACATTTTGGGGCCAAAATGTGATAGAATTTTAGAATTGTTTCAATGAAAGAGCCTATAGAAGTTTTAATAATAATAGTATCTTTTTTTCTTCTTTTATTTTATTTTATTTTCCAGTTTAAATTTAGATAAGAAACAAGGTTGCTTCACAAGTCAGTTCCAGGTCCCTCTCCCTTTCCCTCCCCTCCTCCCGTGCCCTCCCCCCACCCCACCCCCCGTTATCCCCTCATTCCCCCAGGGAGGGTGAGGCCCTCCATGGGGGTGTCCATAGTCTGTCATTTCATATAGGGCAGGGCTTAGACCCTTCCCCAAGAGTTCAGGGTGAGAGTGCACCTCACATTGTTCTATGGGAGTCCAAAGTCCGTGTGTATACTTGGGATGGGTACTGATCTGCTGCCCAAGGCTCAATAGGTTCCCTAGGCCTCCTCACTGACACCCAAATTCAGGGGGTATTGATCAGTCCCATGCTGGATTCCCAGGCTGATGCCTGGGATTCAAGAGTTAACCTTTGTCTGGTCAGCTGTTTCTGGGGGTTAAACCAGCCCAGTCTTAATCCCTTTGATCATCAGTCCTCCCTCTCTGTTACTGGCTTTCTTGAGTTCAGCTCAGTACTTAACCAAGGGAGTCTGCCTCTTCTTCGATCAGCCACTAAATAAAGTTTCTGTTTCCCAGACTCTCTGGCCATAGGATTGTAGGCTGGCACTCCCCAGATCTATGTCTAAAATCCATATATGAGAGAGTACATGCCATGTTTCTCTTTTTGTGACTGGGTTACCTCACTCAGGATGGTTTCTTCTAGTGTCATCCATTTGCCTGCGAATCTCAGGATTCCATTACTTTTTTCTGCTGAATAGTACTCCATTGTGTAGATGTACCACATTTTCTCTATCCACTCTTCGGTTGAGGGACATCTAGGTTGCTTCCAAGTTCTGGCTAATAATAGTATCTTTTAATAATAATAGTACCTTTAATAAGAACTAAAGTTAACTGTGTACTGTCTCCCCACAAGGTATCATCTAGTTACTTTCAATTTACTAAAAAATTGATCTTAACAACTTTGTGAGTTTGTTATTGTTATTAAATTTCATATTAAATTAAAACTTCATTTTCATTTGATAAAACTGAGGCTCAGAGAAGTTGAATAATTTCTCTGAGGTCTCATCAATAGGATAATTATCTTTCAAATTCAGTTAGTTTGACACTAAAATATTAGTATGTTAAATATAAAATTACTAAGTGAATTACCAGTATATAAAATACTACAGTATGCCTGATACTACTATAAAATGGTAGTGATTATTCAAAGTTTAAAGTTTAACATTGAGAAAATTCCATCTGTCAGTACATTTTTCTCTAAGCTGAACAGAGTCTACCCCTACTTGATTTTCCTAGTTCTAGAGCATTGCAGTACAGTGCTGACACCACTCGGTACAGTCTGACACCCACTACTCAGAGAGGGGACATGGACTGCTAGACTCTAAAATTGATCTCTGAAGAATTTTATAATGCTTAAAGAATTATACAACTTCTCAGAAAATACTTTGCATATTCTAAGCACATTCTGAGTCCCAGGACTTTTCTTAAATCTGAAAGCGTGGTTCTTTCATCATTGCTGTGGCAACCTTCAAATGTCAGTAGACTCAGCTTGCTTCCTGGCATTCTCCTCACCCCACATGATATTCCCCATGAGTCAGTGTGATTTATCAGTGTAATTTCTTAACTGAAGGTTGTTTTCCTTTTTCTAGTTTTCTCTTATAGATAGTTTGAAGGTATGTTTCAGTTAGTTAGGATATTTATCACTTATATTAATAGATCTGTACCCACAAATTCTGCTACAGTCACCAAGCAGACTATGTCTGCTTTAGCTTAGGCAGGAATCAGTGCTGTACAATAATTTCTTACCCCTTTCCCTCTATCAAATAAACACGCCATCTTTCCCAGGTGTGAATCTTGGTGTTTCGCATCACCACTGTACCTACAAACCCCTCCCATCTTTAGGAATGACACAATTTCATAATCGCAATCCCCAAACAAGCCCCTGTTCTAGACATGTTGCAGCAGCAAGCTAGATAATAGTTCCACCCAACAAACAAAGCCTGGTAAAGAGTAAAAGTAAATAAGGCTTATGCTTGTCACCTATCAATAGGATAGTTGACTAAACTGGGAGTGTTATCTATAGCAATATTAACTTTCCTGATTTTGGTCATTATAAGTTGGTAAGAACAAAGCTCTACTTAGGAATCATACTGTGCAGGTGGTAGAAGTATACATGTTTGCAACTCTTAAAATGTTGCATAAAGTATTAGGATGAGAGAGGTGTGAGGCCTAACAAGCAGACAGCTCCTGGATCTGAGGGAACCATAGGCAGAAACTCATTTTACTATGTGTATGGTTTTCTACAAGTTTGAAATTACATCAGAATAACTCTACAATAACAAAACGGAGCAAGCTAGGGTAGAACTCAGGAGATGAGGGAAGACATTAATTGGTGATCTGAGTGAGAAATGATAATTTAGCTGAGAATATTAGTGAGGATGGTGAGAAGGAATAGGTTCTGGATATATTTTTTCTTTTTTTCTCTTCTTTTTTAGAAATTTAAGTTAGAAACAAGCTTGTTTCACATGTCAATTCCAGCTCCCTCTCCCTCCTCCCCCGCCCTCCCCACCAAGTCCCCCAGCCCCCCACCCAATCTCCACTCTGATCCCTAGGGAGGGCTAGGCCTCTGTCTTTTCATCTGGATATATTTTAAAGATGGAACTGGGAAAAAACTGATGCAGGGTAAGAGAGAAGCGGGAGTCAGAATGAAAGGACTTGTTCTGAGAGCTAGCAGGTGAGCAGTTCTTTCTAGAGATGAAGAGGTTACAGGAAGGGTAGGTCATGTGTGGGGGTGAGGGATAAGAGGTGGGCTTACATCTTTATTTATCCCATCTATAGGAGTAATTTATTGCATGATGTATATGCACCATATTGGTGTAGTACCTGAGGAGGCCAGAAAGGGGCCTGATGGCAAGTGCCTTTAACTGTAAAGCCATTGTGGTGGCCCTGTTTTAGGTATTTTAGTTAGAAATGATCCCACCCCATCTCCATTCTAATCTTGGTCCTTAGAGAACAGTGCCTTGTGGCATAGTCACACTCTTACTTTTAATGGGCCTGTCGACTTAGAGGAGAAAAGGCAAATGGAATTCAGTGCCTGTTTTTCCTTTTGCATTCCTTTTCTCACCTTAAAACTATTTGTGTGTGTGTGTGTGTGTGTGTGTGTGTGTGTGTGTGTGTGTGTGTTAGCACAGATGATAACTTATGGAGATCTCATGTGCATTTCAAGGATGGAGTCAGTTCAGCCAACTGACTTGGCCTTTTGAGCCATTTTACTGGCCCCTGATTGTTTTCCTTTACCAAAATCACAGTAGTATTTTAACATCAAAATTTAGTTTTGTTTCCTTATAACCATGTGCTGAGGTGTTATCTTAATTTTATATATTTCCCGTCCTTTGTGAGTCTTAGAGCAATGTTCCTAAGTTTCACTTATGGTTTTGATTGAGAAAAATGTTAGTACTGTCTAATTAACCTGATATAGTTTTTTTACGCTATCTGTACTAATTGCTTCTCTCCCAATAATCCTAGAACTTAAATCTCAACATCTCTGTTTACTCAACTATAAGATGGATCAGTTTCAAAAATAGTCTAGCTTGACCTTACAGTGTTCTGTGAAATGTATTTGTTATCATCATGTAAGATAGGATTGATGTATGGGCATTTTTCTTCTTCCTAGTGAAGGACAGACAATGCTAAGGAGTGACATAGCAAACAGAAGGAGCCTACTCTAGACCTCCCATGCCTCTGTAGTTAGGTTGTAACAACCCACTGTCTTGGCACACTAGTCAACAACTTTAGGCAAATTAATTCCTCTGTTGTTTTCTTCAAAGAGGACAAGAGAGTGTCTATCCTTATTCTTCCAGGGTTTAAAATTATATTGGCTGATAAGTACAGAAGCACTTTGAAAAATATTAAGTAGAATTCAAATTCAAGCTCTTCCTTTCATGATTGTGAAGTATCATCTCTTCAGTCTTCTTCCATCCATTCAGGCATGTCATCTGCTTTTATTACTTCTAGCTTTATTTATTACCAGGCCTTTCGTAGGCAATCCTTTCTTTCATCTAGTTATGTGGTTTCTGAATGCTCTAGTATCCTGAGGTTCATTGACTAGGTTGAAAATGACTCTTATAGATGATGAAATCTCTCCTGTTAGCAACTATGACTCAGCTACCATGTGGTGCCAAGTATCCTAGTTATATTATAGGCTTGGCGTAGTACACACTACCTTATAAGGATGATGTTTTACAGATGTTTTGTGACTTTCAGTCAGTACATCCTAAGTCAGGTTTGGCACCACATGTGTATATTCCATGTGTTATAATTTTAGTATACAATGGATCCAAAGGTTTGTGTACTGAAGATTTGGTACTATTGGATAAGAAATGCACTAACTTCTTCAATGAGTTAATCCATTGATGAGTTCCAAGCTCAATACGCTGTTAGGAAGTGCAACCTGGCTTGAGGAAATGGGCTGCTGGGAATATGTCTTTCGGGGGTTTCTCTTACCCTTTCCCCCTTCTCAGCTTTGTCTGCTTCCTGGCTGCCATGAGGTGAGCAGTCTTGCTACATGTTCCTTGCTGTGATTCCCTGTGGCCCAGAAACAAAGGACCTAAGTGAACATGGACATAGATATATCTCTCCTTCCTGAATCATTTACATTTGTCATTGCTGTAACAGGGCACATGACAAAGGAAATCTAAGGAAGGAACAGATTATTTTGTTTCACAGTGTAAGGGTCTCATCCTTTGTGGCAAGAGGTCACAGCAGAAGAAGCCTGAGGCAGCCATCCACTTTGCATCATTAGTCAGGAAACAGATAAATGCTGACCATCAGCTCCTTCTCGAGTCCCTGGAATTGTACTGTCACATTTATGGTAGGCTTTTTATTCAGTTAACCAAATCCAGATAATCCTCATAGATATAGCCAGGGACTCTAAGTCTGATCAATTTAACTATCAAGTTTAAACAAAACAGCTTTGCCCATTGTCAATTTGGCACACAAACACATCACTTTAAAACCTCTCACTTATTGTCCCCTTGGCTCATGGCTATCTCATAATGTAAAAATGCAGTCAGTCAAATTCTAAAGTCAACATAGTATTTAATAGCCCCAACGCTGTTAAAAAATCCCAAGTCTCATCTGAGACTAAAAACAATTGCTTAACTAATAGCTCCTATAAAATATAAAGCAAGTTATATGCTTCCAGTATATACTGGCATAGAGTAAATATCTCCATTCCTACAGGTAAGAAAGAAAGCATAATAAAGAGTGGTCAGAACAAAGCAAAACTGAAACTCAGCAGGAAAACACCAAATTCTGCAGTTCCATGTCCAACATGGTTCCAAAGGGCTTGGGTAGTTCCACCCTTCCAACTGGGCCACCCATAGTGAGCATGTAATTCTCTTTTATGGTCACTCCATTCTTTGCATGTAGCTTTCCTTAATCATTGCCTCATGATCTGACATCTCCAACATCCTCAGGTCTCCATTGCAACTTAGGCTTCATATTCACACAACAACAAAAAATAATAGTATCCTATTACTGTATCTTCAGACATGAATGTGATGGTGATGACATTTTAAAAATGAAATTAGCCAACAAAATGGAATCTTACCTGGTACTGTAGGTGCTTTGAACTTTCTTTCTAAATTCTCTTGTGAGTCCAAAGATATTTCCCTTTTATTGTATGGTAGCTGGCAACAATATTATAACATGCCAATGAAAATCTCCATGAATAAAATACACACACAGAAAGTTCAGAATTCCTGTAATACAAAGTTGCCCTTGGTTATATGATTCTCTCTAAGTGAATAGTATATCCTTCTTTTCAGTCTTGTTTATAGGTAATCATTCTTATTAAGAAATACTATGTTTCTTAATATGGTTTCAAATAAATAAATTTGTTTCAAACATGTTTATGTGTCAAATAAATACATTTGCTTCTACATTGTTGTATATATGAACTGGCAGAACTCACCCTTCCTTATGGGGAGAAAGGAGCAGAAGTAATTGCACTCAGAAGTAGAAGTACTAGTAGTCACTCTTACTTGTTTTACAGGGATGAACGAAATCAGTCCATCATTGTAAGTGGAGAGTCGGGAGCAGGAAAGACAGTCTCAGCTAAGTATGCCATGCGATACTTTGCAACTGTAAGTGGTTCTGCCAGTGAGGCCAATGTTGAGGAAAAGGTCTTGGCCTCCAACCCCATTATGGAGGTAAGATCAACATTCTCGACCTTTTTTTCTATAGTCTGATTAGGACATGAGCTGAAAACTTGATTGCTATAGTACATGTCAGAAAGTCTGTGGTTTCCAACCACTAAAGCTAAGGAAATTTTTTTCTGTATATTAGTAAGAGATCTAGGAAAGGTAAAAATTCTGTAAAGTGGGTATTTTGAGTAAAAATAGCTGTAGAGGAACCTGCATTACTCCATAATGCTTTCTTTTAACTTTCAGAAAGAGTTCTGTCTATAACACCAGGCAGCACTCTTCATACCTATTGTTCCTGTACAGAGGTAAAGTTACTCATTTCCTCCCAGTCCTGAGTACTTTTTTATACTTCTTCCATAAACAGGATTTGCTCTCACTCAAGCATGAGTTACCCTTTTACCCATGGTACATTTTCTATGTTTAGCTCAACCAATTTTAACTTTTTCCAAAATCTGAATTATATATATAAACCCTAATCACATGACCATTTTTACTTTTAAAAAAAGTGTTGCTGGGTGGTGATGGTGCATACTTTTAATACCAGCCCTCAGAAGACAGATGCAGGCATATCTCTATTGAGTTCAAGACCAGTCTGGTCTACAGCATGAGTTCCAGGACAGTCAGGGCTACACAGAGAGACCTTGTCTCAAAAAAGCAAAAAATGTATTACACAGGTGTATCTTGGTAAAGAAATTCAAAGTTATAAATTCTTGAGAAAGGAAATACTATGAAAAGATAATGTACCTTCAAAGGTAGCATACCTCTGGGCGAGATGGCATATTCCTGTTATCCCAGCATTGGGGAGGCTTAAGGGAGGAAGATCACAATGGGCTGGAGGCTAGCCTGGCAGCAGAGTGAGACCCTGCCCTCAAAAAGCAAACCAAACCAAAGTCAAAGACATGTACAAAGTAGAAATGCCTGTGCCAAGGACTAGGAGATTGAATGTATGACAATTTGATGTTTAAAGATTCATAGCTGGGAGAGAATTATTTGTTAATGGTACTTCAGGAAAGTTATAGCTTTGTGAAAAATTAGAAAAATAGATTTCATTAAATGGAGAGAAATCAGGACAGGCAGAAACAAACTCTTCTTGTAAAAATTCACATGGGCATGATTTTATCCCTGTCTTTTTCCTCTGTCAATTCTCGTTATCATCCAAACACAGATGGAGCTAAAATGACCTGATGTGCCTTGGTACAAGTGGTTTTTGCAGTAATCTGACTAGAGGTAATTGTGCCTGGTTTGCAGTGCTGTGTGTAACACCTCTAAAATGAATGTTGTGACCTATTTCTACATTGCTGCCCTATAGAGCCAGCAGGACCCCTATTCCTGGATGACCTAGAGGAATTGGAGAGGCTTCCAAAGCTAGTGTGCTACAGGAAGAAGGAGGAAGAGGTTTCTGTTATAATATGGGCATTAAGGACCAAGTGACTGTGCCAGAGGAGAGTAGAAAAATTAAAATTAAAATTTTGACAGGATTTAGTTTTGTGTATAGTAGTAGATGCTACTGATGTTAATATTTAAGCCATACATTTTCAGAGCCAGTATTTAACTTGAGTTCATTTTTTTCTCATGCAACTGATTCCTTGCATTTGATAGAGCTCTAAAACACCCTAGTTCCTAATATTAGAATATCTCAAAATCTTGATTGTCATAGCTTTAGGGAATCCCATGTCTTTTATGCTAGATCATCCAAAACTAGAATTTGAGTTTGTCTTAGGAATACGTCTTAGTCATCCTTTTAGGATAGTGTCAAAAAATAGCTATGTTGTTTTGCTGTCATGGTTTACGATACAAATTTGAGTTTTGTTACTATGAATGATATTAAAATTTTAAAATGGACAAAGATACTTTTGCTTTAATAAAATGCAGTTAAGAGGAATTTACCATGTTTGCTGAGATAAGAAAAAAAGATACAGGTTCCTTTTCTGTATTACTGTTTATTTATTTACATTTTGATCAAGAAGATCTCCCTTGATAAAGGACTCTTGAGGGATATAGTTCAGTGATAGACAACTTCATTACAAGTCCCTGGGTTCAGTTCCTATTACTGTATACAAAAAGCAGAGAATTTTCAGGCCTGGAGACATAGCTCAGAGTACTTGCTGCTCTTGCCAGGCATGGTAGCTCATGATTGTGATCCATGCCCTTGGAGACTGAGGCAGAAGCAGTAAGAGTAATTGGTGCTCCTGGAGAGTGTCTGGCTTGGGTTCCCAGCACCCACTTGGTTGTTCACAAGCACCTCTAACTCCAGTTCCAAAAGGATATGATACCCTCTTCTGTTCTTCTCTAGCACCAGGCAAACATGCGTTCCATGCATCCATAAAATAAAAATAAATGAAACATTTAAAGTAGAGAATTTGTAGCAACAGCAGACAGGTTATCTGGTCTATCAAAGCTATATGAAGATGAAGTTAATAATTTAAATAGATCCATACCTCCTATGAGATAGAGTAATTAAAAACCTCCCAAATAAAAAAAGCTCAGGACCAGATGGATTCAGGACAGAATTCTACCTGACCTCCAAAGAAGAAACAACAGCAATACTTCTCAAATTATTTAGTATAATAGAAAATGAAGGAACATTTCTAAATTATTTTTACAAACACCCAAATTTCCCTGATACCATCATTAGACAAAGACTTAGCAAAAAAGAAAATACTAGGTTAGAATCTCTGATAGATATAGTTGGAAAAAATTCTTAATATAATGCTTGCAAACTCAAGAGCACATCAAAAAGGTTATCCACGTGATTAAGTTCATTTGGCTCCAGAGAAGCAGGGATAGTTCAACAGCACTAACCTTCCTATAGATTAGCAATTTCTTGTTGATTGGAATGAAAATAGCATTAGAGTCTTATTGATATAGTACTTACATGACAGAAGACACAACTAGAAGATATAGACAAAAGATACATCTTTCCTTATCAAGTCCAAAGGTTAGAATCATGTCCTTATTTTTTACTTTATGTATATAGTATTTTGCCTGCATATATGTATTTATATCACATGCTTGCTTGGTGCCTACAGAAGCCAGAGTGTATCAGAGCCTCTGAAACTGTAGTGAGAAACAGTTATGTGCTACCATGTGGGTGATGGGAATCAAGCCTAGTTCCTCTGGAAGATTAGCCAGTGCTCTTAGCCACTGAGCCACCTCTCCAGCCCCCAATGTTTTAATTTTTTAAAATTTATTTGTTTGTTAGCATATAACATGACAAGCTCACTTATGGCATTTTCATGCATAATAGCTTAGATTGAGCCCCTTGCTCCTCTGACCTGCTCCTCTCTCCTGTTTTCTTGTCTCTGACACTTATACCTTCCACCCCCAAAGTTCCCCTTTTTACTTCCATAAGCTCATCTATCCCTCTGGGGATGGTAGTGCTTCTCAGAGAGATAAAATGGGCCTACTGTGGCACCCAAGCCTTCAAACGGACTTCATTTGCTGCATTTACCATTTGTTCTTCTATGTTTAAATGTTTAAATGTTTTAGTGAAAGACAAAAAGGTCTGCTTTAGCCCTAGCCTACCTTCTTCTCACATGTGTACCATTGTTGCAGCTAGATGCCTGTCTAGTATGAGGAATGGACAGTAGACACAGGATGAGGAATAGAAATGTAGACCACTTTCCCCCAACTGCCTTAGACACAGACATGAAATTACATAGGGCAGGGCCTGTAAGCACTCAGTGATTTCATTGATACTGTTGCTTTTACTACAGGTAACCTTGCATCTACTTTTTGACAGAATATATCCTTTCAACTGAAAAAATATGTATCTATTATTAATCTCAATTTTCTAAATAAAACATCAAGAAAATATATGGAGTAATAAGTTTTTTGTTATATCAAGAAAAGTGAGTTAAGTCACAGTTGATCTGAGTACAGAAAATAAATGACTGTGGAGTACTCAGCGCTAAATAGGATATTTAGACTCTTCCCTAAAATGCTCAGGAATATCACAAAATGGGGGGGACAGAAAGATTATAACAGCCAGAGAATGGCTGCCATAAAATAGTGTCTTCTGGACGAAGCAGGTCTGCTACATTCATGGACTCACAGCCGCTGTGACTGCCTGCATGAGCCTAGTACATGTTCCTGCAAGTCAACATCCCAGCAAGGATGGTGGAGGAATTCATGAAGCCCCACCCCTGACTGAAGAGCTCTTTGTGACTGAGGGCTGCCAAGGGATGGAGACTTAGTTTCCTTCAGCTTTAGTTGGTGACATTACATCCATGAACGTATGGACAGCACTGATTAGATTCAATCTGTTTGAAAAAAGGACTTTTTAGATTTTCTTTTTTGCAGTGTGACTTTGCTTTTATGAATACAGCAGCCCCACACCTAATAATTAGTCACTAAACAATTAATAAAATTACCACCTGTAGAGCACTTTAGAAAGTTACTCTAAAATACCCAGTAGAAATCAGTACACTTTTATTAATACAATACATACTTGCAGCTCTCAACAGTATCTATGATAGTTGATATCATAAAGCTATAATTTGAAGAGGAGATAAATCTGAAGCAATATAAATGATTTTAATATTTTTCAGTATCTAGTTGCAGTCTTTCTGTTGTTCTCTATGGTCAGTAGCTGATTATCTTCTGAGGGCACTACAGCACTTCCATTTGTATGGATGGCAAACGACTCAAAATTGTGAGAAAATAGTGTCATATCCACATACTATGGGAGCTTCTAAGTTTAAAAGGCATTCTTCTTGGACTATGGAGCTGATCTTGAATGTGAAATACCCATCCAAGAGCCTTGTGGCTGATCATCAGGCACCTTAGTTTGTCCTTCAAAACTTTTAAGATTTATTTGTTTTTATTTTATATGTACGGGTCTTTTCCATATATGTATATATGTGTACCATGTGCATGCATTGCCCATGGAGGCCAGAAGACAGCATCTGATCCCCTGGAACTAGAATTACAGATGGTTGTGAGCTACCATGTGTGTTGGTAATTGAACCCAGGTCCTCTACAAGAGCAGCTAGTGCTTTAACCAC